CATTTTCTGCTTCACGCTTTCTAATCGTTTTGAGTCATGTGTTCCTTCCACTTTATTCCTAAGTAAATTCTCTTTGCATCTTTAAAGACCATGTCCCAAAGACTGTTGTAACTTCTTTGAACTCAGTTTGGGTTTGGGTGCCTGTCTAAGCTCTTCTGCTTACAACGCGTGCCTGTGTGTTGTCCGTGCCCACGCCACTGACAATTCGGCAAATCCGTGTTTCTCTTCCGCGATGTGCAGGGAGAACTGACGGTCACCAGACACAAGAATGTCTTCCTGCTTGCCTGTTTTCAGAATGACTTAAATTCTCTGCATAAGTCATCTGTTGTCCGTAAGTGAGGCTGCCCGCCTAATTCATGAAAGAGGCATGTTCCCAGAGCAGAAGGGACCTTACCTGGTGTCTTGAATGCATCCACAGGTGAGAGAAATACCCTGGGATCCATCCTTATGAGACCCACGGAAGGGCCAGGGATCCAACCCTCGCCCCTCAAGTGGAAGCGCGGAGTCTTAACCACTGGACCGCCAGGGAAGTCCCAGAAGTAGCTTTTAGTGACCTTTCATTCCAGCCTTTCGTGCACCTGCCGTATGAAATCCCAGAGAAGCTACTTGATTTGTATTCCCAGAGGCAGGATGTAAAATCAGCGTAAATGCAGGTCAAAATGCTTTGTCAAAAAAAAAAAAACACCGAAAACCACAAGTCTCGGGGGCTTCCCTGGTGGCGCAGTGGTTGAGAGTCCGCCTGCCGGTGCAGGGGACACGGGTTCGTGCCCCGGTCCGGAGGGATCCCACATGCCGCGGAGCGGCTGGGCCCGTGAGCCATGGCCGCTGAGCCTGCGCGTCCGGAGCCTGTGCTCCGCAACGGGAGAGGCCACAACAGTGAGAGGCCCGCGTACCGCAAAAAAAAAAAAAAAAAAAACACGAGTCTTGACACTGCGTAGAAGGTTGAATAGTCGCCATCACAGGACATCTCTCCGGAACGAATAGTTTCACCTTGAGGTAGAGACCCCTGGTAACTTTTATTTCGAAACGGAAGACCGATCTTGGTTTCTGACACGTTGCCATCCAGAGCTGAGGTCTTTGAACGGGTGCCGTGGCGTGGGCTGCTGACCCCAGTCTGCATGGGATCCCGTGGTATGGAGGAGAGAGCTGAAATTCCATTATCTTATCCCCCTGCACTTGGTTTCCTACCAAGCAGAATCTGGAGACCCAGAGTGGAAGAGCCTGTGTCTGTGACTTGTTCTAGATGCTTCCGGCTCAGATAAGGGGGAGGGATGGAGAAATAGCTTCCAGTTTGCCGAGCAGTCCCCTTCAGCGCGTCCCCCATGGTGGGTCGGACTGACATCACATCTGTATCTGATGTTTTTTCTGTAGATTTCTACCCTCCCCGCTGAGCAGAATTTGCTCCAGCCCATTTTGCAGATATAATTCAACTGTGCTTGGGAGATCTGGGGAGTTCCTCTGAGGTGTACTTCTTATTTTTTTGTTCTGTTTAAAAATTCGCTGTTGAGAAAAATCTGGAAGCATTTTAGTAAATGCAGCAGAATGGGAGACTTCCACTGACTGTGGTATGAAGGAACGAGGTGAAACAAAAATACCCCCTCATTTTCAGAGAGGTTGCCAGTAGCTTGTATTCTCATTTAAGGCTTACCCTAGACAGACCGGGGGCAAGTTTCACATGCAACATTCCTGAAAGTCTCTTTCTGCTCAGATAAAGATACATCCCCACTAGCTATTAGTCTACCCCTGGGATTTCCCAGTTATGCGAGGAGACGTTTCCTGTGCAGACTTTTTTTTTTTCCTTTCTCTCCAGTCATCCTATAATATTTAGGGTCAGTCCTTCATCTGATTATGGAGGCTGGGTAGCAGCCGCTGATGCAGGATTTACTTTTACAATCCCTGTTAAGCAAAAAACCATATAATCCCGTGGTCATGCACAGCTCCCCCTAGAACATGAAACTCTCCCATTCAAGATTCAGAGCTTCTGCTCAAGCAACAGCCACTGTATCCCCAGAGATCCTGTCTTGGGGAGAAATCAAGTAAGAGGATGAAAGATATAAGAAAGGAGTAAAAAATAAAGGAGTGTAGGTTCCACAGATCCTGTGTATTAACCACAGGTACGACACAGGTCCTGTGTTCAGGTCTTTGTCTACAGGATTGCATCCTGTGGTCACAGCAGCCCTGAAAGATGGGCATCATTGTTTTTATGTTACATTTGGGGAAGCTGATTTTAGGGAAGGTTTCTGCCCAGCCAAGGAAGAGTGGGAAGGAGGAAAGGGAGGCGTAAGCCCAGCTGTCTGTACTCTTTACCAATGGCTCTGCTGTTAAGGGGTCCAATGAGAAGAGTGGATGGGAGGGCTCTTACGGTGATGCAGACAGAATTCTTCAAGAAGACAGATGCCGCTAGCATGAGAAAGATGGAGAAGCAATTGCTGATAAAATCGTTGGGTGTGCCGTGCAAGGAGCTGCCATCCACCAAATCACATGGCGTTTGGTGACTCTGGAGGACTCCAACCTCTTGTCGCTTTGGAGGTCAAATCACTCCTTGCCTCAGAAAGCACGTTCCGCGCTGTCCTAACTTACCAACCTGGCCCTTGTCCCCTCTACCCTCCGCAGCCTCCACCTTGTGGAATTGTGGGGAAACAGGTACATTTAATTCAACCGATATGTATTTAAAACCCTCCGTATTCAAGGAATATTGTTGGCATTTCTGGGGATCCAACAGTAAATCAAACATGGTTTCCGGAGCTAACCACCGAGGGAGCAGAATAAATGTCGAAACAAAAGGAATAAATACACCAAACTATTGATTTTTTTTTAAAAATTATGGAATCATGGAAAATCCGTAAGGCTATATTCATGGATTTGTCATATCTGTTATGTACTGTGACTTTTTAAATCTACACATTTCTTAGTAGAATTGAACCTCATTCATTCCCTCACTCACTTATTCATGCATTTGTTTGAGCTCCTAGTGTGTGCTAAGCTCTGTGCTAGTTTCTGGGTTTCGAAACGTAACCATATAATTAGACAAGGGCAAGTAACTGGCCATAAGACAAGCAAAGGGCCACATGGATGGGCAGGAATGTTGGAAAGTGCTATGAGATGGAGGCTGAAGAAGAGATCATCAGACAGCGGCAGGGAAGGGACACACGATGGACTGAAATACGTACCTCAAGATGAGAACATGCATGGACGTCACAAGAAGGAGCAAGAGAAGAAGGGAGGGGTCTGCTACCATTTCTTCAAAGCCGGGACATCAGCAGATACAAGGTCCCTGGACAGGCTGGCAAGACCCTGCCATGTCATGTGTCACCGTGGACAACTTCAGAACTTGTTTTGAGGATGGGGCAGCCCTCCAGGTTGGTGGTGGGACAAAGAAACAATGGATGAAGGAAGAGGCAGGCAGAAGCTAAGACCTGAGCACCAGACTTCTGTACCGAGCGGGCAGGGCCGTTGGGCTCAGCAGTTCTCAGGAGTCGCAATCCACTAGACTTGGCCACCAGTTGGCTTCAAGGTCCTAGAGGAGAGGCACATGGGGACCGTGACTTGGGTTTCCAGTTTAGCTGAGTACGTGGATGGCAAAGCCACGAAAGAAAGCTAAGGAGATGTCCTGGGGACAGGTTTTTAATAAATGTAATTAAAGGGTTTGGGGCATTTCAAGAAAGAGGATCCCTAAAACCAGTCCCTGGAAATATGTCAACACACGTTATTGCTATGGACGCAGTGAATGGACCCACTTATGAACTGGCCCCTGATCTACCTGGTGGATGCCCGCCACCTTGGGCAAGGGGCAGTGAGGAATTCCTAGACACTTTTTTGTTGTTGTTTCTGGTTGCAGTGGGTCTTAGTGGCGGCATGCGTGTGGAATCTAACCCAGGCCCCATGCACTGGGACCACAGAGTCTTATCCACGGTGCCACCAGGGAAGTCCCTCCTACACACTTTTCAGGAGAAACCAGGCCAGTCCATACTGCATCAGAAGCAGCTCATCTTAAGGTTCATTTCTGGGCACCTCCTAGCAGCTCTTGGACAGGTACCAGGCATGCCGCAGGCTCACTCAGGACACCTGGCATGTTCCCCTCCTGGATGCCGGCCCTGGGACACCCCCGTTTCTTTCTCTTCACAGTGGGTGCTCTTCCTAGCTCTGCCCAGGGGGGCTCTGCTGATGAAAGTCCTCACCTGACCCCTTGGTCCCCTTCCCCAGATCTGATTCCTCCTGGGAACCAGGATACCTCCTTCTCTCCCTTTCCCTTCTGCGTTGGGGACGCAGGGTCCTCTCCAACCTCTGTTATTTCGCCCTGTCCACAAGCGGTTCTCACTTGCCCCAGCAAGTACCACCGGGCTCCCCAGAATGCCGGCACCGGCCCAGCCCCCCTCGGGCTCTCCAAAAGGGACGAGAGCATTCCACCTTTTTGGCAGGAAGATCCTGGCAGGGGGAGGGAGGCTGGCGGCCAGGAGCCACAGCAGAGGCGGGAGGGCGTGGCCGCGGGGCTCACGTGGCAGCCGCGCCTGCCCCTCCGGGTCGGGGGGGCGGTGGGATGCCGGCGGGCGCAGCCGGCTCTTGCCAACCCCAGGGTTCGGAGGCGCGGCCAGAGAACACTCCGACCCGCCCGGAGGAGTGCAAACCCTGTTCCCTCTCTCCTCCGCGGAAAGAAGGAGACCCTCTCCAACTCTGCTGGGAAGGGCGCTCCGGGTGCGGACTTCGAGCAGCAGTTCGCACCGCGCTCCGGGCCTCTGCCCCTCCCGCGGGTCCCCGGAGTTCGTCTCGGACCCGCAGCCCTCCTTCCCAAAGCCGTGTGCGCTTGGCCCCTGCCGGTCGTCCCGGCGGCGTGGACGAGGCGTGCCCACTCGGGACGCGGCGCCATGAAGAGCCGAGAGGAGGGCTGAGCGCAGAGCGGCGCGGCCAGGGTCCCTGCGCCGGGGCCCGCGCCCCGTCTCCCCGGGGTGGGGCAGGGCGGGGGTGGGCCGAGGCGTGCACTCGGGGAAGTCTCTGGGCGACGCGCATAAAAGGGCGCCGGCTCGCCGCGCCGCGCTGGGAAGCCGCGCCGCCTCGCCCCCGGCCCCGGGAAGGGCATGGCCCCGGCGGACCCCCGGCGGTGACGCGCGCGCCCCGGCCCCGCGGATGCTCTGGGCGCAGCGCTCCCGTGCGCCGCGGCTTCCGAAGGACAGGTGAGGACCGAGGGCGGCCGGGGCGCGCGGCGGGGAGCCGGCTCTGTCTGCCAGGGGCGGGTGACGAGAGTGCGGCACGGACCTGTGCCGCGGGGGGCGAGGGCAAGCAGACGTGTTGAACTGTTTCCTGGCACTACAGTGGAGGGGCCGAGGGGCCGGCTTCCGTCCAGGCGAGAGGCTGACGGAATCCTCCGGGAAGATGCGCTGAGTAGGTCTAAGGAACCCCCGAACTTTTCTTCTCTCCTCCCTCCCCCCTCGCGACCTCTCATTCATCCCTCCCTGGTTTCCAGGGCGTCACCAAGGGGATCCCCCAGCGTAAGCGATTGCGCTCTTGCGTTGGCGGGGGACACCGCCGCTGCAGGGCCGCCTCGCTCCGGGGGCTGAGACTCTCGTCCTCCTCCCCCTTCGTCTTCCCCTGGAAAGGGGGAGACGCGAAGCCCCCCTCAGCCGGGGGCTGAGCCGCGCGGGAGCTGGGGAAGTCACCGTCTGGGAGAGACGTCCTCCGCTGCCCGGGTGCCAGGCTTCAGAGACCCGCGGGGCCACCCAAGCCGCGCTCGGGGAAGGCTCGATGTTCACCGCGCCGCCTGCCCGCCGCGTGAGCGCGGGCGCTGGAAGCCGGCCAGGGGCGCAGGGCCGCGCGCCCGGCCCCTCCAGGTCGTCTACCGCCTGGTGTCCCGAGGCCAGCCTCCCGGGGTTCTCCGGGCGTGCCGGGAGGTCCTGCAGGCTCAGGGCGCTTTCCCTCGAGACCTCGGGACCAGGGTTCCCGGGGGAGCGTTCCTGCGGTCTTCCGGGGGGAGCCGGGTGGAAGGCAGGATGCGGAGCGCGGCTGGGGAGGGGGCATCGGGAGGCCGTCGGCAGAAAGCCAGGGCGGAGGTCAAGCGCGCAGGCGGGAGCGGGGGAGGCCTGGGCTCAGCAGAGCCAGCCGGCTGCTCTCCGCAAAGCGGCAGCGGAGGAAGCTGCGCTTGCCTGTTGCGCGGCCGCCTGCACCGTCAGCTCCGGAGGGGCAGCTGAAAAGGCGAGACGCATCCGGATTTTAGAGAGCATCTCTTTGGAGGCCCTGTAACGGATGGAAGGGCTGCGGCCTCGGGGTGTCCCTACCGCGTGTCAGCGGAGGGAGAGTTTATGATCAGAAGTGAGGGCTTGCCCAGAGCAGGGACGAACCGACAGGCGCGTTTCTCTTCTGTGCCCTTTACTCTCCATGTGTGTTACTTATCTGCAAATAAACTTCATGCAAGAGTTGACAGAAATATGAGTCGATGAAGGAAGGCATGACCGATTCATGAAAAAATAATCACGGACATTCTAAATGAGGTGGCTGATGCAACCTAATTTTTTTTTTTTTTCCCCGGTACGCGGGCCTCTCACTGTTGTGGCCTCTCCCGTTGCGGAGCACCGGCTCCGGACGCGCAGGCTCAGCGGCCATGGCTCAGGGGCGCAGCCGCTCCGCGGCATGTGGGATCTTCCCGGACCGGGGCACGAATCCGCGTCCCCTGCATCAGCAGGCGGACTCTCAACCACTGTGCCACCAGGGAAGCCCACAACCTAATATTTATCTGACCGTTTCTTTCCTTCCCTCCCTTCCTTGCTTCCTTCCTTCCTTCTCTTTCTCCTTCTTCCTCTTTTTTTTTTCTTTTGTCTTACTGATCTTTTTTGTTTGCCTCAAGATTCTTCATCAGGAAATAATTCCTTTCCTCTTTCTCTAGTGGCATATTTTTCAGAGGTTTGCCCCAGATTTCCTCTGCGGTAACTATGGTGCTGCACCATCTCAACATTTGGGCTCTTCCAAGGAAAAAACAATTAAGGGTCATAAACAAAACCACATATAATGGAACATATTTCGCTTTAGTGAATGCCTCTGTAAGCACTTGAAGAAGATATAATTAAAACTTTAAGGAATGTAATTAAAAGAAGGAAACCCTTCTGATAATAACGGCCTTCCTGAGAAGCTTTTTATTCCCATATATACAATAAGCAACGGCTCGGCAATAACGTTGGAGGCGGACGCATAACATTTCCTTTTATTATTTATTTTATTATAGAAACATGAATGTATCTCTCCTCTCTCTGCATCTATAAGCACACACATATATACACATTTATACAAATATATATGTCTGTGTATGTATACCTTTATACACGCACATATGTATGTAAGTATATTTATGGACGTGTATGTGGGCATGTGTGTTCCGTACCCTCCTACACAGCATAGGGAGATCTCCAAGTCATCCCAAAGTCAGGAGGGAAGGTTATATTCTATAGCAACGATTAAAGTGAATGGCGGAAGATTTTAAAAAATAAATTTTCTGTTTCTTGATGCACATGTTTCGTGTCACTGACATATACTGTGTGATGTCTTGCGAAGCTTACCCCCATGGTGCACATTCAAGTAAGATCCGCTGGAAATACGGAAGCGCTACCTGACATCTGGTTTTGTGGTTCCACGACAGGTGTCCTGGGATGACCCACCCCGACAAGATGCCAACGCGGGCGCAGTGGCGAGCACTCTCCGTGGTGCTGATTCTGCTGTGGGGACATCCGTGCGCCGCGCTGGCCTGTCCGTATCCTTGCGCCTGCTATGTTCCCAGCGAGGTCCACTGCACGTTTCGCTCCTTGGCTTCCGTGCCCGCTGGGATTTCTAAACATGTGGAAAGAATCAATCTGGGGTTTGTACCACGTTCTTTCTGAGCCATCGCAGCCTCCTCGCATGCGTGTTGATTTGGTGTTTCGTTATGTGTGTGTGCGTTTACGTCACTGCGAATATATGTTCCTTTATGTGTCACTGTGTCTTGCGTTATGTGCTCCTATATGGGCTGAATCGAGGGGGCGTTTGTAACTATACTAAATGTGGTCCTTTGGGGGCTGTTACCTGAATTGATCCGTCACCGGAAGCTTCTATCACAAGGCTGAATAACGAACCGTCTCGGACAGCTTCAGTTCCTTGCTAAGTGTCCGTTGATAACAGTTCTTTAATGCAGATATGAAAGCATATGACACACACATAAATATACTAATACTATTCTAAATAGACTTCAGGAACTATTACATAATAATAAGAGGAATAAGTGAGACACCTGTGACATTTTGTAGGTTATCTGCATGACGCAGTTGTGACATTGAGGAAATAAGAGTTCTTTCAGATTTTGCCTATTTAAAATACTAGTATCTTTTAAACAGATATTTTAATGCAGCATTTCAAGGTAGAATTTTTGTATTTTTAGTTTCCTTTTGTGCCCATATATGCTTTCTGTACATTAGTGTACATTGCTATGAATTACAGGTACTCGTGTGCAATTTTCATATTAAACAATGTACAACTCCAATAGTAAACAATCATTTGGACTTCTTCAACAAAACCTATTCGCTACTTTCTACCACCCATAAAACAACGAAATTATTTAGGGTTTGATGAATAGCCACTGTGGGGACATTTTCATAAGATGAAACAAAAAATTGTAAACCTGCCTAGACATCTCTGAGTACAGGGCTTCAACCGTTCTTGCATTTGTCGATTATAAAGTCCAGTAGTAGAATAAAAGAACGGGAAGTTAAGACAATAAGAAAAAACACTGAACCCATAGCAATAGACCATTAAATAGCCTTCTCCAAAAAAGTTTGGCAAACTTTACGATTTGACACTCTGAAAAATCTAACACAGTGATGATGGTTCCGTGGGGAAAACAATTTGGCTTTGCCAGCAGAGAGAACAGTAACAGTTTCCTTGTTGCCATCTTTAAATCATTTTACAATTTTAAAACCAGTTTCCTTTTCACAATCTTACAATTCATTCAGAAGGGGAACTGGGGCTGCTTTGAGTCAGGCTAGGATGGGCTGTGCTAGTTTGTGGAAAGGAAAATAGAGCTTATCTATGATTTCTCTTCCTTCTTACACCTCCTGGGGTGCAAAAGAGCTCTGTCTCTAGGGGTCGCCCCTTTCATGAGGCATTTTCAGCATAGTGTCCCTCTTGCGGGTTAACCACCTAATCCCTCAAGGCTGACCCCTTGTCAGGGCACAGAATCGGGGCTACTGTTAGGCCTTAGGGGAGCCCCCTAGACAGTGTGGGATTGAAGGTGCAGGGGGACTGTCTTCTGCTGTGTTTCCTGTGTAGGAGCCCCGAATGCCTCACCTGCTGTGTGTTGAGGGTCTGGGCTGTCAGGTTGGCTGGGGGGTTGGGGAAGACACCGCATGCATCCTCTCCCAAAAGTTAGCTGTGTGATAGCTGGAGACTTGCAAGACCTATAAACTGTTTTTTTGTGGAGCTGTTTGCATCTCATTCACAGTTTCCAGGAGGGTTCTCTTCCGCCCATCTTTAAATTGACGTGTTTTGTAAGCGTGGAACCTATGTCACGTCTCAATGAGAACATAGTTCTTGGTGGTTTCATTTTAAACAATTAATGCTGAAGACAGTGAATTACAGTGTCCTATAGGCTTTGCCACTAGAATGAAAGACAGATATCAAAATTATGCTTTTTCCTACCATCTCCAATAAGATCTTGAGACGGTTTTGTGTGATATTAAAGATAAAGGGGAAAAAAAAGGAATAGCTTCACTGCACCCACATATATTACTTCCATCTGGCTTAATTTGTAACATTATTCAATGTGCCACATTTTAAAAATCACTCTTATAATATCACAGCACTATTTCTGGAAACCAGTCTCGAAGCAGATAAGGAGGCTGGCATTGTGCCTTTTGTTGGGGAAAAAAAAAACAAAAAACAAAAAAACAATAGCAACGTCTAATACAGATAGAACTCAGGGTCTGAGTTGTCTGTTCGCGGTCTGGAAAGGGTTTAAAACTCTCAAGGAATGAGGGATTATTGGCAGAGCAGTAATGAAAAATTTTCATTCCCACACAGATGTTTTTAGGGTTCTCACTCAGCACTGAAAGAAAGATCTGCTGTTTCCTGTTTGGACAGCCCCAAAGCTTTTTCAGAAATCACTTTCCAAATATTTCTGAGTAAGAACATATCATGCAGTTAAATGTCTGATTTATAGACCTTTAAAGATTTTCCCCCCTTTGATTGAAAGATGCGTTTTGATGACATCTTTCTGAAATTTCTCCCATGCCCATTAGCTCTTTTTCATCTTAAATTTTGGTTTGGGATCCTAACGGGTATCTGTGAAGCAATTTTACATATATTTGTTTTTTTCTTTTTTATTGGCGACATCATTGACACCCTTATATGAGTTTCGGGTGTAGAGCATGATGATTTGATATGTGTATATATTGCAAAACGGTTCTATGTTTCTGATATAAAAATCATTCCATTTAGCTGGTTATGTAGTCAGTTATTGCCCGTCAACAGATGAGGAAGATGCTTTGGAGAGAAGGATGGGTAGCTGACCAGTTAAAGGATGGGACTGTACACCAGGTCATTTCAGTCTGCCGGTCAAATTATTTTCCTGACGCCACGTGAGTTTCCCCGTCTCTCTGCCGGCTTTTAGACAGATGCGGAGAGAATTCACCCACACCCCTTGGGTGTGCAGAGAGAATACAATGCTTCCTGCATTTGCCATTCACGTGATTCCCTTGTCTTTTGTCTGTCCTGGAAATGTCCCCCCCCCGCCTCCCCCCGCACCCCGCATTCGTAACCTTGACACCAGCAGCTCCTGCATCTGTCACTCTCTTAAAAGGAAGCACCAGGAAGAGGGATGCAGGAAGGAGGATTCCTGAGCTGACATGCCCCCCATCCAGGACTTTGAGGGGATTTACTCAGGTGGGGAGGGAATCCAAACAAGGTGACCCCCTGCACCCAAACATCTTCCTCCCCTTTATCTTCTGCCCGCCGCGGCACCCACCGTTGTAGCTGGACATCAAGTTGGAAGTGAGGCTCTGGGGAGACAAAAAAATTCCAGGAGAGGAATAGCACAGCCTTGAACGAAAATGTGCTGCGGAACATCAGACTCTTTCTGACCCACCTGAGAGATGGAGCCTTTGACTTGCACCACCGCCTGCCTCCGAGTCCAGACCTGCCTCTTCCCTCTGGCCTCTCTACTCTTCTTTACCTCTGGGGTCTTCGCAGGTGGCGTCACCTCCCCCCAAGCCCTTAGTGCATGCGTCCATTCGGGAATGCTTCCTGCATGTGCACGTCTCAGGTCTTCACTTGCCTCCTGGGTCCCACCCTCACCGTGGCGTCTGACAAGCCTCTTCAACATCCCGTGGCAAATACAACTTGCAAGTGTTTCCCCCGCAAGCTCTTCCTTATCTGCAGTTCCATCCCTCAGCCATGCCTGTGGCCTCTTGCTCTAAGCACGTCTGGAAACTTCCCACGTACGTTGATCTCCACGGCGGCCACCCTGCCCGCGGACACCGGCGTCCCTCCCCGGGATGCATGTGGTCTCCTCCTTCCCCTCTTGTCTGTCTCTGACCCATTCTGCACAGAGTGGAGCTGTGTTGTCTGACCACGTGACTTTCTTCCTGCCACAGCCTTCCTGAAAACCCTCTAGTGACTTCCCGGTGGACTTGGAACAAAGGAAGCTCTTTCCTCTCTACATCCTCCCAATTCTGAGATTACCTGGTCCCTGCCAGCCTCACCTACTTCCCCTGATAATATTCTCCCACAAACTGTTTCCAGACGAGCGTCAGGCAACAAGGAATGGAAAAGAGTTTACGGGCTGATACTCATCCCCTCTTGGGTGTTCACCCTCTCGGGCAGGTTTCTTGGTAGAGTCCAAATAATGATGAACAAATGAGGCAGCACACCAACCTCCCATCCTATCCCAGCCTGGGTTAAGGCAGGGACTCTCCACTTCAGCACATGACGTTTGGGGCCCACTTACCATGGTTCCTTGTCATGGGGGCTGGCCAGTGCATTGCAGGATGTTGAACTCTGGGGTGGACCTCACCTCCGTAGAGGCTGTGATCACCGAGGTGTGGGGCATGTATGTGTCTCAGGAGGAAACTGGACCTGGCCATCACCTGCTGAGTTAGCGCTGAGCTGTTACCGGCCTCCTCTACAGATGCATTTCCTTTTGTTGAGGTGATAAGGGGAAGTACAGAAATCATGTCAGGATAGATGTGTTGGATTTCCACAGAAGCCCTGACCCCAGGTTCCTGCCCTACGACACAGCAAGGTACAGGATTCTCTGTTCATCTTATAATTGGTTCTCCAGGGATTCACTTTGGGGATTCCCTGGTGTCACTAACCACGGAGCAGTGAGGGATTTCCAGACCGGTCGAGGAAGCGTCTTTACCAATCTCTCTGCAAAAACAACACCCCAAATGCACCAGAATGTTTACAGATAACTTCCATCACCCATCAGAAATGGGAGCTTGTCTTTGCGAAATAAGGGTGTCTGTTTCATTTGGTCCTTTATTTCAGAGAACGTCCTTGTCTTACTATATGCAAAGCCACTTCCAAAGCTGTCTTTTGGCTTTTTGGTTTCCATGCGTGCTGGCCACGTGTCTTTGTTATGATTTCCAATGAGGGGCCCTTTCGACCAGCTGTGTTTAAAGGTCTAAATCTTATGTATCTCCCCAAATAGCCTGTGACCACGTAAGTGTACTCCCAGTCAGAATTCCCAGCGATCATGCCTTCACTGAACGAAGGCTAATAAAAATGTGTGGGTTTCTTAGCAACCTTAGAAATAGACAAGGACACGGAGAGAGAGGATTATGCTTTGCGAGTGGCACCAGTACAACCTTAGAATCAACGTTTTGCTAAGTCGCCCCTGGGTGGGCTGGGAACTCCTCCCCAGCTGGGATTTAACTTCACTGCTTCTCATTCCAGTGACTTATTTTCCAGGTTCAATAGCATCCAGGCTTTGTCGGAAAGCTCGTTTGCGGGACTGACCAAGTTGGAGCTGCTTATGATTCACGGCAATGACATTCCCAGCATCCCCGACGGGGCTTTGAGAGACCTCATTTCTCTCCAGGTAAACCCGGGCTTTTATGAACAGCGCGACTAGCAGCCTCTAGGACCCGTCGTGAAGAGGGGAAGCTGTAGCATGTTCCCTAACAATGATTTAAATGGCCTTTTTTTTTTTTTAACATAAGAGACAAGCTTAATGTCATTACTTTCCTGCCCTTTGTTCTGGTTTCTCTTCCTGGTTGTGGGTTGGTTGGTTTTCAGGTTTTTTATTTAATCTTAGACAGGATTTCCCGTCCTCCCTGTCTTTGTAGGTTTTCAAGTTCAGCTACAATAAGCTTCGAGTGATCACAGGAGAGACCGTGCGGGGGCTCTGGAACCTCATAAGGCTACACATGGACCACAACAAGATCGAGTTTATCCACCCACAAGCGTTCAGCGGCTTGACGTCCCTAAGGCTACTCCACTTAGAGGGAAACATGCTTCACCAGCTGCACCCCGCCACGTTCTCCACGTTCACGTTTCTGGATTATTTCAGACTCTCCACCGTGAGACACCTCTACTTAGCCGAGAACATGATTACAACCCTTCCCCCCGGCGTGCTTCAGAGCATGCCGCTTCTGGAGAACCTTTACCTGCACGGGAATCCGTGGTCCTGTGGTTGTGACATGAAGTGGTTTCTGGAATGGGATGCAAAGTCGAGAGGTAAGGACAGGAGAGCGGCTGCGTGACCCTTAGCTGCCCAACCTTCACCTCTCTGGACAAATTACGTTCTGCGCCATTGCTTCATCTTAGGTCGGGTGAAATCACGTCCTCAAACCAGTGAGGCAGGAAATGATGTAACTGAAATGTCAAGACAGCTCCGTGGCATAATTCAAACGCGTGGATCCTTTATCGAAATGTAGGATGATTATCATTTAATGAGTGATCGACAGTTGGCTCTGGTTGGCATAGCAGGCACGCTTGGAGGATTCTTTTCGACCTTGGGTTACAGCTAGAGGTTGGATTTTCCATGCATCGTCGTCCTACAGGAAGTGTTCAGGGATGCTCGGAAAAGAGAACGCTGGGCTGGCTATGTGATTATTCTTCTGTGATGGGGGATACAGGTGTTCTGTACTGATCCAGAGGGGGGGAAAAAAACCCAGGATTGATAGGTAGAAGTTGCAAGAAAGTAGATTTTGCATCAAAATAAGAAAGATTTTTTTTCCTTTTTTCTTTTACACCCCCTTCCCCAAGCCCCACGTTGGAACCCATCCTCAGAGCCCGTTGAGCTTATCCTACCTGAGTCTCGTGGCTCATCTCCAACCTCACAGCCACCAGCCTGGGTCTAACTCCTTTCTCCTGTCTCTAAGGAGGCAAATGGAGTGCTCTGAGTAGGTCTTTTTCTTTTCTTTTTTTAAAAACATTTCTTACTTTATTATTTTATTTATTTATTTATGTTTGGCTGTGTTGGGTCTTTGTTGCTGCGCGTGGGCTTTTCTCTAGTTGTGATGAGTGGGGGCTACTCTTCGTTGCGGTGCGCGGGCTTCTCATTGCAGTGGCTTCTCTTGTTGCGGAGCACGGACCCTAGCCGTGCAGGCTTCAGTAGTTGTGGCACGTGGGCTCTAGAGCGCAGGCTCAGTAGTTGTGGCTCGCGGGCTCAGTAGTTGTGGCGCGTGGGCTCTAGAGCGCAGGCTCAGTAGTTGTGGCTCGCGGGCTCAGTAGATGTGGCACGTGGGCTCTAGAGTGCAGGCTCAGTAGTTGTGGCGTGTGGGCTCTAGAGTGCAGGCTAGCGCAGTGCCTACCCTCCTGCGAAATGGGCTGGTCCCACTGTTCCCTGTACTCACTCTGCTCTAGCCACACTGCACTGCTTTCTGTTCCAGGCACCGTCTGAACCGATTTGTAGCTCAGCGTCATTGGACCTGGTCATCATCTACCAAGAAAACTCTTCTGTTAGATGTTCAAGGGTCTGGCTTCTTTTCAGCGTTCAGATGTTCACTGAAAGCTCTCCTCCTCTGAGAGGTCTTGCTACCCTTAATTTCAGCTTAGCCTCTCAGCCTGTGGCCATCAAGGAACTTCCAGCCCACACACCTTAGGTCACAATTTTGTTTTCATTTATACATGTCACAATTTTGTTTTCATATATATATATATATATATATATATATATATACACACATGTATGTATATATATTCTTTTTCAGATTCTTTTCCGTTGTAGGTTATTTACTGAGTAGAGTTCCCTGTGCTCTACAGTAGGTCCTTGCTGTTTATCTATTTTATATATGGTCCTGTGCATCTGTTAATCCCAAACTCCTAATGTACCCTCTCCCCCCTTTCCCCTTTGGTAACCGTAAGTTTGTTCTCTATGTCTGTGAGTCTGTTTCTGTTATTATAAATAAGTTCTTTTGTATCATTTTTTTAGACTCCATATACAAGCGATATCATACGGTATCTGTCTTTCTCCTTCTGACTTGCTTCGCTCAGTATGATCATCTCTAGGTCCCTCCATGTTGCTGCAAATGGCATTATTTCGTTCTTTTTCATGGCCGAGTAATATTCCATTGTATATATGTGTCACATCTTCTTTATCCATTCATCCATTGATGGACATTTAGGTTGTTTCCATGTCTTGGCTATTGTAAATAGTGCTGCAGTGAACACTGGGGTGCATGTGTCTTTTTGAATTATGGTTTTCTCCAGATATATGCCCAGAAGCGGGATTGCTGGGTCATATAGTAGCTCTCTTTTTAGTTTTTTAAGGAACCTCCATCCTGTTCTCCACAGTGGCTGTATCAATTTACATTCCCACCAGCAGGGCAGGAGGTTCCCTTTTCTGCACACCCTCTCCACCGTTTATTGTTGGTAGGCTTTTTAACGATGGCCGTTCTGACTGGTGTGAGTTGGTGCCTCCCTGTCGTTTTGGTTTCATGGGCCGCAGTTTCCTTTAGGCGCGTGCAGCGGCCAGGTGTCTTTCCTCCACCTGGAGATGCTGAGATTCAGGTTCTTTCATGGATGGTTCCACTTCATGTTTGATACCAGATTTGCTAAATCAGGCAAAGGATGAGGAAGGACAGGTATATTGACCTCTTAATTTTCTTAATCAGAAAAGACACACGTCACCTCTGTTCGTATTTCAGTGCCCAGACCCCACTGGGTCCAGGACAGGCTGAAAACCGTCATTTCCCAGCAGGAACACTACACGCTGGTGGTGGAATCATGAAGCTTTGGGGGGTAGAGAGCCGCAGCCATTCTGGAGATACACGCCTGTGCCTTTGTGTGCCCATATGTATGCATTATGTCTGCATATGTTTGAGTGTGTCCATATGTGTGTCTGTGTGGTATGTCTTGTATTTGTGTGTATGTGTATTTGGGGGGGGGTATGTGAAACCATCCTGTTTGCATCTCAAGATGTTTATTTTGAAACTCGAATAGAAAACTGCATTCAGAGAAGCAAAAGTAGACATAGTGACGTTGGTTGGAAGGTTTGTAATACCCCGGGTGATGGCAGTTTGGCTGTTTTATTCCCAGCGTGGATGGAAAGAAGTGGACACGTGCCACGAAGACTGTCAGAAAGCATCCTAGTTTTCTAGTCTCCCCAGTTACGACTACAGAAAAGCCCCGAGACGTCTAGCAGGGAGGAAACATAATGTGGTTCTATAGGTGTCAGTTCGAGGAACCTTTGTGCCCTTTAATAGATGTGTCAAGTAGGGCATTGGGTGTGGGACTCATAAGAATGAGTCCAGGCTGGAGAAGCACAGCTGGAACTCATCACTGGCGAGTGAACAGTAACTGAAATCATGCACGTGGGCGAGGCCATCTAAGACCTCAGCACAAGAAGGGAAAGGGCCGAGCACGACTGAAGGAACACATCATCCGTAACGAGTTGGGCAGAGAAGGAGGAAACAGTGAAAGAGTCAGTGTTGGCCAGAGAAGGAGAAAATTCCGGAGGATTTAATGTCCGGGAAGCCAAGAGTAGAATGTGAATCCAAAAAGTAAACACTGCCTGAAATGAATAATTCTAGCAAGAGAAAACATACTTATAAAAGGTAGACACGATACGATCCATGCCAGCTGTCGATCCTATAACCTGGAAATATATTCACGGGTTGCAGTGACTTCACGTAGATTCTCCTGGGCCCTCATAAAAGGTTACTTGTCTAATACGTATGAATAGCCATTCTTTTTTAACTTAAAAATACCTTTTAGAAAAGTACTCATTACTCACCGTCCAGAAGTTCCAAAACCCCGGTGAGGTACCACGCACTGTGCTAAACTGACTTCAAGTCAGGGGTGACGTCACAGAGCGAGGTGGGTGAGGTCCTAAGTCGTGGCGGAAGTGCATCCGGGTGATAAAGATGCAAAAGCTTTAACCCTCCGGCCGTTCTTTGCGTCACTGACTCATAGCATGTTTGTGTGTGATTGCGTGTTTCAGGGATTCTGAAATGTAAGAAGGACAAGGCCTACGAAGGGGGTCAGCTGTGCTCCACGTGCTTCAGTCCTAGGAAGCTGCACAAACAAGAGATTCAGAGGCTGCAGGACATCGCCTGTGAGAAGCCTTCTATCGAGTCCCCTCTGAGACAGAACGGGAGCGGGAGTAGCGAGGAAAATCAGAGTCAAGAGCAGGACGGCGACAGCCCGTCCTCCCTGCAGGGCTTCCAGTATCCTGTATGGAACGTCTCTCTGAATATGAGCGACGAACACGGGAACACAGTGAACTTGGTCTGTGACATCAAGAAGCCCGTGGACGTGTACCAGCTACACTTGAACCAGACAGACCCTCAAGAGATAGAGATAAACGCCACGGTCGCCTTGGATTTCGAGTGTCCGATGACGCGAGAAAACTATGAGAAACTCTGGAAGCTGATTGCCTATTACAGCGAGGTCCCTGTGACGCTACACCGGGAGCTCACGCTCAGCAAAGACCCCAGACTCGGCTACCAGTACAGGCAAGACGCCGACGACGAGACCCTCTACTACACGGGCGTCAGAGCCCACATCCTGGCAGAGCCAGAGTGGGTTACGCAGCCGTCCATACACCTCCAGCTCAACCGGCGTCAGAGCACGGCCCAAACAGTGCTGCTGTCCTATTCCTCTCAACATGCTGTCACCGTGTCCGCCAAAGACGCGAGGCCGTCTCGGAGCAGAAGCTGGGTAATGATTGAGCCTAGCAGAGCGGTGCAGAGAGCCCAGACCGTCTTGGAAGGGAGTCCATGCCAGCTGAGCTGCAACGTGAAGGCTTCTGAGAGCCCGTCCATCTCCTGGGTGCTCCCAGATGGCTCTGTCCTGAAGGCACCCATGGAAGACGAGGACGGGAGATTCTCCATCCTCACCAGCGGCTGGCTGAAGATCAAATCCACGGAGCAGTCAGACGCTGGTTTGTACCAGTGCATTGCGCAGGTGAGGGATGAAATGGATCGAATGGTCTATAGGGTCTTTGTGCAACCACCTGTCACTCAGCCCCCTGACGGACATACCGTGACCATTCAGAAGAGCCCGGGGGAGCCGGTGACGCTGCCTTGTAGTGCTCTGGCCATACCTGAAGCCGAGATCAGCTGGATCCTTCCAAACAGAAGGATAATTAACGCTATGGCTAACACGTCACACACATACATGTTGGCCGATGGAACTCTTTACATCCCAAAGGTCCAAGGAAGCGACAGTGGTTACTACAGATGCGTGGCTGTCAACCAGCAAGGGGCAGATCATTTTACGGTGGGGATCATGGTGAGTAAGAAGGGATCTGCCAGGTCATCGAAAAGAGGCAGACGCCCAGGTGGGAAGACCCTTTCCAGAGGAAGAGGAGATGTGGTGGAGGATGAAGGGGGATCTGGCCTAGGAGATGAAGGTAACACCATGAGGAGAGTTCTCCATCCAAAGGACCAAGAGATGTTCATCAAAGCAAAGCACGATGCCATCGCTGGAGGTCAGAAAACCAAGAAAGGGCGCAGAAAACTGAAACACTGGAAGACTTCCGAAAAGGAACCAGACACAAACATCGCAGAAGGTCGCAGAGTGTTTGAGTCCAGACGAAGGATAAACGTGGCAAACAAACAGATCAGTCCAGAGCAGTGGGCAGATATTCTCGCCAGAGTGCGTGGGAGAAATCTCCCTAAGGGAACAGAAGTACCCCAGGTCGTTAGAACCAGCACTCCTCCATCGGAGAGTCTAGAAGTGACACCCCTTTTGCCTGCAGCTGCTCCCCGCTCAGTATCACCTGTGCAGACCACAACCAGTGCAGAAGAGTCCTCAGGAGATGTCTCTTTATTTGGCAAGGAAGAGCAGGTTTCCGGCACTGTTTCTTCCACCAGGATGGCTCTGGTCCAGTCTGGCCACGACGGAGTGATTCTTGCTGACCCCAAAGTGACAAGCGCATACCTGGAAGAACTGATTGATGAAGAGTTTTCTGAGAAGACCAAGCCTGCAGCTCCCACTGCAGTTGACTCGAATTGGGCTACGGCCACGACACCGCTACCTGTGCCTTACGAATCTTCTACTCTACAGACCCTGGATATGGTCCGCGAAGAGCCCACTGACAGAAACATGGCCACAGAGGGCTGGTCTACACTAGACGCTGGGTCCATGCCAGGGGCTCCGTCCAGTGAGTATGAGTCGCCACTGGATGCCATCTCCCTGGCAGAGTCCGAGACCCTGTCATACTTTTACCAAGATCTGGAGACAAATTCACAACCAGGTGAAAGCACGACGAAAGAACAGACCTCCGCACACGTTACTCCAGTGCCTGCCTCGTGGGTTGCTGACACCAGGACCTCTGAGCCATTTGAAGATCCCGTTTTAGGGGACCCCGACGTCCCAGCACAAACAGGTCTGCAAGAGCAAACAGAGAGCCCCGAGCTTGTGGAAAGTGGTTTAAGCACTCAGGGCCACCCACGGATTCCCAAGGGCACAGAGGAGAATTCTCAGACACTGCAGGAAGGAGGTCTGCGAGAGAGAGACCCCAAACGCTCCAGAATTCCTGAGAGTAAGAGGCAAGGCATCGAATCCACCACTCTGCTGGCCTCAGCCCTGGAAGCCATGACGAGCATCACTGCCGTGAAGCACCCCAAGGGAACCACGCTTGGCGTTCTGCTCGACAGGGACACCAGCACGGTAGCCATGATGAGGCCAGCCCCAAAGGCCACGTCCCCGTCAGCGCTGACCACTCATCCTTCCCGAAGGAGACCCAGCGGGAGGAGGCGATTGCGCCCCCACCGATTCCGGCACCGGCATAAACAAACCCCGCCCACGACGTTCGCCCCAGCGGCCACTTTTTTGGCACCACTGACTCAGGCACCCAAAGTGAAGACTCCAGGCCAAGCGGAAAGCTTGCTGGTTCCTACATCTTGGGTTGACAGCACCGTTGGTACCCCAAAACTGATGGACGTGGAGAAGCATGCAGAACTGGCATCCAGGGGCGCCCCACGCAGGAAACATGGGAAGAGGCCAAAGAAACAGCGATACCTCACCTCTACCATGAGCTCTATAGCGTCTGTGTCCAAGCCCAGCCCTTCCCCAGAAAATAAACATACAAACACTGTTACCCCCAGTTCAGAAGTTGTACTTTCACCCACCACCGTTTCTCTCACAACTGGAGACCCACGTGAGATAACCAGAGTGGAAGATGACAGGACAGCCGCCACCGAAGCACATTTATCTCATGATAAATTCCAAGAGACAATTCCAGTCACAGACGAGCCTGTATCGGACGGAAAGGAAATTAAGAATTACGATGTCACAAACATCAAGGACTCTAAAACCGACGGTCTGGTCCCTGGCGAGTCAGTCACTCATGTGGCCTCACCTTCTGGGGCCGAGGTCTCCAGTGTGGGAGTGTTTAAGGAGGCAGCCCCTCCTTCTGGCTTTCCGGGAAGTGCAAGGTGGACTCCTCCAAGGGCAGCCCAGCCTGAGCGGCTGCAGACAGACCCACCTGTTACCAGCTCTTCAGAAGCTCTTACAGACTCACCCTTTTTAAAAGAGTCGGAGGACCTAGGTTTTCCTTCTGAGTTTTCACCTTCTGCCACAGTCTCTATGCTCTCGCAACAGGAAGAAGCGGTCCCTTCAACTGCTCTCGCCATCCTAAAAGTAGAGGCATCTTCAAGTCAGGTGGAAACCACCATCAGTGGTCAGAGTCATCGTGAAACCACTCCAGCCACTCTCCGTTCTGAAATTAGACACCGGAATGAAGTCTCCACACGTGCCCTGGTTGGGGGACCAGCAACCCCACTCCCACCCACAACTCGTGTGTCTCTGGCTGAAACCACCGCAAAGCCCACACCTCTTACGTCAGAAACACTGCCAACGTCAGACGCTTCCAAACAAAACGTTTTCTTCCATTATGCTGGGGGGACCCCAGCCACCGGAACACCTTCAGTGAATAACGAAGGAACTCAGCATGGATCGAAGCCAAACGAATTATCCACTCCCTCTTCCCACCAGGACAAGTTTACCTTCACTCCAAAGCAGGAGTTGCGAAAGGAAGCCTTGGACGGTACGACCAAAAACAGCCTTCCAGGGCGTCCAAATGCTCACCACGAGGCTGGGAGGGTCCAAGGTTTCCAGCAACCAGCCAGAGTCGCTGCCACAGCGGTCCCCCAGAGAGGAACCGTGAGGCGGCCACACACGGCCACAGAAAGCTCCTTTAGATACGTGGTCACTCGCCAGCCCCACCTGACCAGCAGACTGGAGATCACTGCATATCCGTCGAGGGGTCCGCCGGAGAATAAGCACTTTACAGCTCCAGTATTACCAAGTTCAACAACTCCTGTGGTTCCGTTGCCGAGGTCCAATCCTAGCATTCCTAGTAAGTCGACTGACCGGGGAACTGACCCATTCAACGGCAGCCCCACATCGTTTGGAGACAACAGCATCCCTGACTCAAGAGACCCAGCTGGCAAGCTTCCGGATTCCAGAGTCCCGTATTATCCCGATGGAAGAGTCCCTTTCTTTTTCAACAGGACCCTCTCTTTTCCACAGTTGACAGTTACTCCGAAGCCTCAGGTCCCCACCTCTCCTGCCCCAGGGACGAGAGGGAGAAAAGTCAACCCGGGTCCCTACAACAGGATACATTCTCAGAGCGTCACCCATGTGGACTTTGGTCCCCCAGCACCTCCTGTACTGCACCTTCCCCGGACCGTGACACCACCCTCAACAAACTTAAGAAACATCCCTCTGGTCTACTCCACCCGGAGCTCCATCCCTTTCATGACATCTTCTGCCCAGCCTTCCAGAAGCTTCCATCAGAGCAGCTCAAAGCTCTTCTCTTCCAGAGGACCACCTGCATCCAAATTCTGGACGTTCGGGGAAAAGCCCCAGATTGTCACCAAATCCCCCCAGACCGTGTCCGTCACTGCCGAGACAGATGTCATGTTCCCGTGTGAGGCTATGGGGAAACCCAAGCCTTTCGTGACTTGGACAAAGCCGTCCACAGGTAGGGCGTTTACACACCTGCATTGTAACCAGGGCTTGTGTAGGGGAGGGGCTTACTGGAGTCCGTGAGTGCAGGTAGAACCAGAGATTCCGGGCAGAGGGACAGGCAGATGGGATGGCAAAGGACATCTGAGAATCCGCCGACAGGTGTATTCCTTTACGGGCACGGGAAGTGGGGAATTAAAATGGGTGTCGGGTTTTAATGGAGTCATGGAAACACGTGCGAGCTTCTCTGGGTAGGGCATTCCTAACCGAGGCTCAGGGCCGTGCCACTCTTGCCTCCTCCCAGTGAGGTCCAGCACAGAAGTCCTCCACGAGCCATGTCGGGGTGCAGAGGGGCGTGAGGGGAACTGTGCCAACCCCTCTTGTCCTCGCGCTGGCTTGAAAGGTCAGTGAAGCTTGGTGTGAGCTCATCAGGCATTGCTTTGACTTGAACCTAGAGATAGGATCGTATGAGTCCGCTCGGGCTGCCGTCGCAAAGCGCCGGAACAGATGGTGCGGCTAGAACAGCGCATGTATTTCCTTTCAGTTTGGGGAGGTTGAAATCCAAGATCAAGGTGTCACTAAGGCTGGTTCCTCCCGAGGCCTCCCTCCTTGGTGTGTAGACAGCCATCTCCTCCCTGTGTCCTCATAGGGTCGCCCCTCTGTGTGCGTCTGTGTCCTAATCCCGTCTTCTTACAAGGACACCAGTCCTGTGGGATCAGGACCCACCCTAATGACTTCATTGTACCTCCATCCCCTCTTTAAAGACCCCCAACTCCAAATACAGCCACATTCTGAGGTCCTGGGGGGTCAGGGCGTTCACATATGAATTGTGGTGGGAACGCAGTTCAGTCCGTAACAAGGCTCTATACAGTGGTCTCTACTTAGCAGGCTGGGATGCCCAAAGACCACTGTGCTTCATAAAATGACCATCGGCTTTCCCGATGGCGAAAGAGATTCTAGGAGACGGAAGAAAGTAATAGCAGAGGGCCTACAGCCTCCACGAACGGACCTCCCTTTTCCCCTTTCTCTTCCCTTCTCTCTCAACATGGCTGAGTCCGTCAGGCTCGCATCCTGTTCAGAGGGTTGGGTTTTCTTCGGTTGCCATTTAGATAATCCAGGAAATGACAAGTGCTGCTATCACTAGAGAGAACTGTACATTCCCTGCTTATCTCACACATGTTGGCTGTGCCCCAGTGGTGAGCAGAGACCACTGAGCACAGGGAAATTACCAGCATCTTTGATCAGCTCCGCATTTGACAGCAAACGCTTTCGTAATGATCTAATAAGGAACTTGCTTGAAATAGCAAATGGGGAACACCACGGGGTTTTCATTCTAGAAGGACTGTGCCTTCGAAGGAAGGCGTATTCCTCCCCTGGGAGATCCCATTTGCATTCATCCTTAGCGTCTACCATACCCTGTGCCATTTAGAGCATCCCTGGACCACGCCCCCTCCCTAGACAGTCACGCACCTTCCTCTACCTGACCAGGAATCTGTTTCTACTGCTGGCTTCTCCTTTGTTAGCTAGCTCCAGTTTTCAGAAAGTTCTTCCTCATTTCATGCCCAAACCAGACAGTCTCCCATCCAGCCAGCGTTGTTTTCTGGAGCTGCACGATGTCTCTTATTGTATTGAACCTTTTCTACCCAGTAAACCAAATCATCTCATCGAGTGCTAACAGGAAGCCAACTTCTACCTGCCCATCGTGATTTGCAGGCGGTTTTAGTGGGCTTTCCCTCCCACCTGAAATAGACAAGCGCTTGGGGGTCTCTGCATCATAAAATCCCTCAGTGGGGAAGTGGTTGAGGGGCAGCAGGAGGCCTTCCACGCCCACAGTCACCTGTCATCCAGGAGGGCTTGGACCCAGACCAGAAGGACCTGCATCTCCTCGAAGGCAGGGAGGTTATACTGTCGTCAACCAGCACCTGTTTCCCTATGAGCAGGTGGGCTGGGAAGACTCACCTGCAGTACCCCGTGCACGACGGAAAGCCTTGTCGGGGGAAGTTTCAGGTAACTTAGGAGGTCGAGGACATGAATCCGCAGCACTAGGGCTGGGAACAGCGTCCAGGGTTCCAGGGTTCCATGCAAAGGCAGGACTCCCAGCTTAGAGAAAATGACTAGGAAAAGAAGCAGAGGAGTTTGTCAAAACTAAAATGAATAGCCCACTGACGGGCGCATGGACCTGGGAACCGAGCAGCGTGGGATAGGGTGGGAGGATTGAAACTCAGGGTTTGCTGGGGCTTTTCCCAGTCTTTCAATATAGGATTTGTTATTATTCAGGTAAGGTGAGGCTAACAGGTCAGGAGATGACTGCCACTGAAAAGACACTTGGTCGCTCACGGTTGCCAAGAGGAAGGGGCACAGCACACCAAGCGGGGTTACACGGGGAAGCACCAGGGTCGGTCGGGAGGCAGAGGGAAAGGGGGAAACCAGACGAGAGCCTTTCCTGTGATTTTCGCAGGAAGGAACAGGTGAGGCAGGGCGAGCGGGGTTAGGACGGCCTGGTGTGAAAAATTCCAGCAGGTCCTGGGTGCACGGGCTGCCCTAGTTGTCTGGTACCTGTCCTGGGGGGATGAGGGCAGGTGGATGGTGGCCCAGAGTATGGGAGCCTCTCAGAGCAGGGAGTGGGGGGCAGGCTCTGGATGGGTGAGTTTGCATTTGGAAGGGGGGTCCTCTGCTATATCTCTAGGAATTGGCCGTCCCTGGAAGGTCAGCAAGGCCCCAACACGTCAAAACATCAGAAACTCTTGATTATTACAGACCCCGACCGTGGCAGAGTCCTGAGAGATGGGCTATAAAATACAGGGAGTGTAGGCAGTGGGGAGGAGGACGGATGTGTGCTCTCTGACTGTCAGGCACCGTCAGGAAGCCTGCGTCAGCCTGCAACGCAACCAGGCGGGGCACAGCACGACCAGCCCCGTGTCGCTCTCGGGACCCTGGCCGGACAGAGGCGGGCGGTGACTGAGAACCTGGGGCATCCCTGCAGCCGACCTGGGGACCTCAGGAGGACAGCCTCCACGCGGCGAGGCAGAGGCTGAGCGAAGTGGGGCTGCCTCTCCAGTACCTAAAGTAAATGAAGAGGCCACCCTGGGAGACCCTGGGCTTCATGACGGGTTCTGGCGGCTTCCAGAACCCTCTCTGAAAACCACGCCTGCTGCCTTGGCCTGAAGGTGGCCTATGCCCTGATCTGGGGATCAGTGTAACATCCAAGACGAATATCAGAGGCACTGGGGGGTGGGTCTTTTTTTGCTTTCACTGCCTGGACATAAAGAGCAGAATCAGATTAACTCATAATCCTTGTTTCGCCCCTTTGGCAAGACCGTGTTTGCCCTGAACCTGACGGTGCCTGTGTTTGGTTTCCAGGGGCTCTCATGACCCCCAACACCAGAGTGCAGCGGTTTGAAGTCCTGAAGAACGGCACGTTCGTCATCAGAAACGTACAGGTGCAGGACCGCGGCCAGTACCTGTGCACGGCCACAAACCTGCACGGAGCAGACAGGATGCTGGTCCTGCTGTCGGTCACGGTGCAGCAGCCCCAGATCCTAGCCGCCCACTACAAGGATGTCACCGTCTACCTGGGCGACACCATCGCCATGGAGTGCCTGGCCAAGGGGACCCCGGCTCCCCAGATCTCCTGGATCTTCCCCGACAGGAGGGTGTGGCAGACCGTCTCCCCCGTCGAGGGCAGGATCACGCTGCACGAAAACCGGACCCTGTCCATCAAGGAGGCGTCCTTCTCAGACAGGGGCGTGTACAAGTGCGTGGCCAGCAACGCCGCCGGCGCGGACAGCCTCGCCATCCGCCTGCACGTGGCGGCCCTCCCACCCGTCATCCACCAGGAGGAGCTGGAGAACATCTCGCTGCCCCCTGGCCTCAGCATTCACATCCACTGCACCGCCAAGGCCGCGCCCCTGCCCAGCGTGCGCTGGGCGCTGGGGGACGGGACGCAGATCCGCCCTTCGCAGTTCATCCACGACAACCTCTTCGTCTTCCCCAACGGGACCCTCTACATCCGCAACCTGGCACCCAAGGACAGCGGACGCTACGAGTGCGTGGCCGCCAACCTGGTGGGCTCGGCGCGCAGGACCGTGCAGCTCACCGTGCAGCGCGCCGCCGCCAACGCGCGCATCACGGGCACCTCCCCGCAGAGGACCGACGTCCGCTACGGGGGGACCCTCCGGCTGGACTGCAGCGCCTCCGGAGACCCCTGGCCGCGCATCCTCTGGAGGCTGCCGTCCAAGAGGATGATAGACGCGCTCTTCAGGTACGTGGCGCTCCTGCCTCGCCAGCAGTCCCGGGGCTCCTGAGCCTGTCTCCCCTCTGGGTGCTGGGGAAACCTCCTCATGGGGTCGGGCAGAAGAAGGAATGACTCCTTGTCGGCAGTGCTGACGCGCAGATGTTGCTTCCTGTGTGGGCCGGGTGGGGGGCATTTCTTTCTCACACGATGCAATCTTGTCTTCTTTCTTTGTTCCCCGCCCCGCCCGGGGCGGCATGTGGGATCTTCCTTCCCCGCCCGGGGATCGAACCCTTGCCCCCGGCACTGGGAGCGCAGAGTGTTGACCACTGGACCGCCAGGGAAGTCCCAATCTTGTCTTTATCAGTTGAGATGCAGAGCAAACACCTAGCCCTTAGCCCTGCTTTTCTACTCCCCGCCTCCAAAGAAAGATAAAGCAATAGCTTTTGTTTTCATGCTCGTAGTTTTAACTGTATTTAAATAATTAGATAAAACAATTTCTTGTCTTATTCTAATCTCAACAAAACACATCGGAGCTTCAGATCTATCTCGAAATGTGTTAGCAATAGAAGGAAAGGAGATAAAACAAAGAAATTAAAGGCAAATGGCAGCACAAAGGTAGCACATCTGCAATTCTAAGAGTTCATCTTGGCTAGGAAAAAAAGCACCTTGCCCTGCCACGTCTTCAATTCGCAGATGTATGACTCTAGAGCAGTGGGTCTCGACCAAGCGGGATTTTGTCCCCCGGGGACATTGAGCCATGTTTGGAGACATTTTTGGTTGATGAGACTTGGGGAGCAAGGAGGGGATGCTACTGGCACGGTGTGTGTACAGACCAGAGATGCTGCTGAACACCCCACAGTGCACAGCACAGCCCCACGTCAGAGAGTCGTCTAGCCCCAAATATCAGTAGTGCTGAGGCTGAGAAATACTGTCTTAGCAAGGAAAACTATCATTTATTTTTATCTGTCGTCACCTATCTGATATCTATCGTTTATCTATCTAGTACCTTTCCATCTGCCTGTCTGTCCTCTATTCTATGTATCTATCTGGCATCCCTCACCTTTCCATATCTAGCTCAAACCCTTTACCTATTTACCAATCATCTATTTTTATATATCTAACATCACCTATCTGATATCTGTCGTTTATCTAGTATCTTTGCATCTGCCTGTCATCTATTCTATGTATCTATATATATCATCTGTCATTTACCTTATCATCTATCTTCATCTGTCTCTAGCTCTATCTACCTACCTAGCCATCCATCTTACCTCTCTCTCTATCATCTGTGTCTATCTGTCTATCATTTATTTTTATCTATCTGTCATCACCTATGTGATATGTATTATTTATCTCTATAGTATCTTTCCATGTGTCTCTATCATGTATTCTCTGTATATCATCTGTCATTTATCTCTTCTGTGATCTTTCTCTATCTCTAACCCTCTGTCTGTCGCCTGTCTGTCTATGGAAGTGGTTCTCAACTAGACGGTTCTGTCTACCAGGCTGCACTCATCCATGTCTGGACACATTTTCAGTAGTCACAGCTCGTGGGGAAGGGTTGATACTCTTTGATTAGTGGAGACCCGGGAGGCTGCTCGAAACCCCACCACGCACAGGACGTCTCACCACAGAGAGTCATCCAGCCCCTGCTATCAGTAGTGCCGAGGCTGAGAAACCCTGAGGTAGACCCCAAAAGCCACTGTCTCTTTAATAAGTGTTTCAAGATGCAGAGGAAAGAGACAGTGATTGGCAACGGGAAGCAAAGACACATCCGTGGCGTCATGTTGGAAACCCCCTGGCTTGTGGTGCGTCTCCAGCCCACACAGCCTGGCAGCTCAGACAGGAACCCACCTCGGCGTGGGTTCCTCCCTGGGACGTGACCCAAAGCAGCGCCCAAGGCTCTGCGCAGCTGTGTCTGGTCTGCCCAGTCTCCTTCCAGCGCAGGAGAAGGGCCAAGTCGCCGTATTTTAACTTCAGATGGCTGGGTGGTGCCTAGTGAGCCCTGCACCGTCGATCCGGAATACCACATGCCCGATTTTCCCCGCAGTATCTTCCAGCTGAGCCGGTGTCCTGCCGCGCAGAGGGTTGTTTTCCATCGACACTGGCGAGGCTGAGGCAGTGCTGACTGAACACTGAAGGGAAAGAATGTAGTTCCGGTGTGACTTGGGGCCATGCTACTGGTATCTCGCTATAAACCATAAGCCACAGTCTCTGTAGCTTCATTATTCCTAGCTTCTGGCTAATGACATTCTCAGAAAAGTGTAATGAAACAGCCCATGTGAGTTTTTTAAAAGAACGGGCTGTTTGCCCTGCCTACACACTAGGACTGTTGTAAAACAGGGATACTGGACTTTCCTGTCTCGAAGCTCAGTCTCCTGTAATGTGTAGCCATGCATCTTTTTCAGAGTCGCTCTGCTGATTCAGATAATGACCAAGGTTAGGATTTGCTGCTATAGAAGTTTCTAAATGTTTACAGACATGTGCTACTGTATACATTTTTGGATTCTAACTCCAAGACTCATTAAAATACCTCTGTCTGCTCCACGCCTATCGAATGACCTACTGATTCAGGTTGACTGGACTCTCGCTCATGACCAACAAAACACGTGACGTGGTCCTTGTTGGTAGGTGCTTTGATGAACGATAATCAGGCTTGAATTCCATCATAGGCAGACACTTCTCTTTTTTTAAATCAGTGACACGGTTCCAGACGTGCTATTAGAATGACACAGTGTGCAGGAAATATTTAGGGATAATAGTCAAGCTCTCCCTGCAGATGCCAGAATTATAAGTAATTGAGATTTTCAATCTGGACACGTTTAAAGTAGGAACCTCCCAAATCTCTTCACCCCGTTATTCAAAACATTAGTTCTGCGTTGCTGGAGGACATGCCGATGTATATTTATAAAAATGTCACACGCCCAGTGAAGATATTTCTGTCTTTCTTTCCATGTTGCCTTTTTAAACTGAAAATTCTTTCTCGAATACTAACTCAGCAGTGTGTGAGTTTAGGTCTGCCACGTGGAGAAACGGAAAGTCAGCAGGAGGATACGAGCTGGTGAGGGTCATGACGCTTTCGTTACAGATTCTAGGGAAGGAGCTTGTACACCAATAGCACCAAGTTCTGAAGAATCCAATCGTAGCCTCGAAACTCTGGGTATAACCACAACTACGTGATCCATACTGTAGCTATTTTGCTGCCTGTTTGCCTCATAATGGGATACAACATCATAAAAACTGTCAAGAGTAAACATCGTCTCTAAAACTTTTAGGAAAAATGTCACCTCTACCTAAGGTTAATGCACATTCATTCTGTCCAGGACGCTAGAATTTGATCTGCTTTTATCATTACAACAAGCTCCACGCTGACAACAGGCAAATATTTGATCCACACACGCCCACACAAACCGGGCTGATGTCTTAGACTGCGTTTCACATCTTCGAATCAGAGGCCAGGCCAGCCAAAGGTCAGGCTCCACCGGGGAGTTCTTAACTGGTAAATAAATCACTTATGCGTTTGGATGGCCGTCCCCTCCGGGCTGCAAAATCCATCCAGCGTTTTTGAGCGGCAGCCCTGTGCGCCCAGAGTTCTGAGATCCACACGTTTTTGTTGCGTTCCGGTGACCTCAAGCCGGGAGAGACAGCGTTCGGGAGACTGACATCTCATTCTGTTTTCTTTCTCTCGGTCAGCTTTGACACCAGGATCAAGGCGTTTGCCAACGGGACCCTGGTGGTGAAATCCGTCACGGACAAAGATGCGGGGGATTACCTGTGCGTCGCCCGGAATAAGGTGGGCGATGACTTCGTCATGCTTAAGGTCAACGTGGTCATGAAAGCAGCCAAGATCCAGCACAAGGAGGAGAACGACCACAGGGTCTTCTATGGGGGCGACCTCAAAGTGGACTGCATGGCCACCGGGCTCCCCAACCCCGAGATCTCCTGGGGCCTCCCGGACGGCAGCCTGGTCAACTCTTTCATGCAGTCCGACGACAGCGGTGGACGGACCAAGCGCTACGTCGTTTTCAACAACGGAACCCTCTACTTCAACGAGGTCGGGTTGCGAGAGGAAGGTGACTATACCTGCTTTGCCGAAAATCAGGTTGGCAAGGATGAGATGAGGGTGCGCGTCAAGGTGGTGACCGAGCCCGCCGTCATCCGGAATAAGACGTACTCCGTGGTCCAGGTCCCCTACGGGGACGTGGTCACCGTGGCTTGTGAGGCCAAAGGGGAACCCACGCCCAGGGTGACCTGGCTTTCTCCAACCAGCAGGCAGATCCCCACCTCCTCCGACAAGTACCAGATATATCAGGACGGCACTCTCCTTATCCAGAAAGCCCAGCGCTCGGACAGCGGCAACTACACCTGCGTGGTCAGGAACAGCGCCGGGGAGGACAGGAAGACGGTCTGGATTCACGTCAACGTCCAGTCGCCCAAGATCAACGGGCACCCCAATGCTATCACCACGGTGCGGGAGATTGCCCCAGGAGGGAGTCGCAAACTCATCGACTGCAAGGCAGAAGGCATCCCCACGCCGAGAGTGCTGTGGGCCTTTCCCGAGGGCGTGGTCCTGCCGGCCCCTTACTATGGCAACCGCATCACCATCCATCGCAATGGTACCCTGGACATCAAGAGTCTGAGGAAGAGCGACTCTGTCCAGCTGGCGTGCATTGGGCGTAACGAGGGCGGGGAAGCCAGACTCATCGTGCAACTTACGGTCTTGGAGCCCGTGGAGAAGCCCATCTTCCACGACCCGGTCAGCGAGAAGATCACCGCCATGGCCGGCCACACCATCAGTCTCAACTGCTCGGCAGCCGGGACCCCGACGCCCACCCTGCTGTGGGTCCTTCCCAACGGGACGGAGCTGCAGAGTGGCCACCAGCTGCAGAGGTTCTACCACAAGGGCGACGGGATGCTCCACATCAGCGGCCTTTCCTCCGTGGACGCCGGGGCGTACCGCTGCGTGGCCAGGAACTCGGCGGGCTACACGGAGAGGCTGGTGTCTCTGAAGGTGGGGCTGAAACCCGAAACGAGCAACCAGTACCACAACCTGGTCAGCATCATCAACGGGGAGACCCTGCAGCTGCCCTGCATCCTCCCGGGGGCCCGGCAGACCCACTCCTCCTGGACGCTGCCCAACGGCATGGTGTTGGAGGGTCCCCAGGTCCGAGGACGCTTCACCCTTTGGGAAAACGGTACCCTCACCGTGCGCGACGCGTCCGTCTTCGACAGGGGCACCTACGTGTGCAAGGCGGACACGGAGTACGGACCCTCCGTCGTGAACGTCCCGGTGATCGTGATTGCCTATCCTCCCCGGATCACCAGTGAACCCACACCTGTCATCTACACCCGGCCCGGGAGCACCGTGAAGATGAACTGCTTGGCCGTGGGCATTCCCAAAGCCGAGATAAGCTGGGAGCTGCCGGACAAATCGCACCTGACCGCGGGGACGCAGCCCCGTCTCTACGGGAACAGGTTTCTTCACCCACAGGGGTCGTTAATCATCCAACAGGCCACCCAGAGGGACGCGGGCTTCTACAAGTGCACCGCCAAAAACCTCCTGGGCCGTGACTCAAAAACAACCTACGTCCACGTCTACTGAAACCCCGGGAGCACACCCTGGACTCCACGGCCGCTGCTTCCGAAGTTAGAACGAAGCCTCCTTTGGGTTCACAGCGGGGGCCGGAGAGTCAGGGCTCTAAAAGGATTTGTCCCGGGACACGGTGGCCCCCTCCGGCTTGGGTTCGAGGCCCACTGTCGACCTTGACCTGTGCTCGTTGACGAAAGGAAGCAATGCAGACACGGGAAGTGGGTGTCGGCCTCTCTGGGGGACTTCCTTTCATGTTTACAGGATGCTGTATGCTCTTGCCTTCCGTTTCACAGGACTTGGGCGCAAATTACAAATTCTGCGTTGCTGGTACCATCCTGATGCTTGAACGGGCGTCTGTAGGATATCTAAGGAGCCTTCACTGCAGAGAAGCTGTCGAGGTTCACAGTGCCTTGCTACCCCCGCGGAAGATGCATTCCCTAGTTAACCCGCTGCCGTTTTAACATGATAGAACGTTCTAGAATGAGTATCCGTCTTTCCGTTACTCCTTCTGTCACTTCAGAACTCCAGTGTGCCCGACAAGGGCTGAGAACCAGAGGGATTGTTTGTTTGTGTCTCACGTACAAGTGTCCTACAGTACAGCTCCCATTTTATAGGAAAGGACGCTTTCTCCCTGGAACTCACTTTTTATATAGTGTTTTATATATATATATATTTTTTTTCTTTCTAATCAGACGATGAGAGTAGAAAGAGAAAGACATACTTTCTGTCTCATTAAAAATAATAAATTATTGGTCTTTACAAGGTTTGTATACATTAGACCAGGCACGGAAATGCAATTAAAACCAGTTTCCTTCCCGACTTCCTTCGAATTCATAAACCACTGTTATATTACCTTTCCCAGCGACCCTCCGGTAGGGGATGCTGAGATATTGGATTTCCCTGTTGATAATAAAATTTATCCGGAGAGAGCCGTGCGGGACCGGGGAGACGACAGGAGAGGGAGGACAGAGCGAAGTTGTGACCGCACGGAATAAACCCAGAGCCTTCCAGAGGAGCCCAGAAATATCTTTCCTCCTGTCAATTTGTGTCCTCGAAAAATAGATCTGTTACTTCCACGACTGCTTTGCTGTATTTTTAAGGTCAAAATAATGTACATTGGATAATAAAATAATATTTTCCAAAGAACCAGGCAGTCATGACAGTGATATTTTCAAGGGCAAAAGCCACTTCAAGTGAGTCTGCGCTTAGATCAGATTGGTTGAAAAACTGCTTTTATCCACCACGTTGGAATTACTCTCTTCTCTGTGAGTATTTCACCAGCAAGGAAACTAAGTCCAAGGTGCCAGCTCCAGCAGAGTCTCTGACAGGAAGGTGAGGTGGGACCAGCTCCAGTGTGAATCAGGATTACTGGAGGCTGAAGAAAGAGCGCCACAGCAGTCCTGCAGCCAGTTTTCTTTAGGGAGGAGACATCTCGGGTGCCTATAGCAGTATTCCTCAAATATGCACTCTTTGGCTTCCCGCGAGAGGAAGGAAGAAAGCAAACTCAAGATAAATATTGGGGAAGCATGTGACTTTTGTCCGTGCTGCCAATCTGGAAAGAGTGGCAGTCACTGAAGGGAAAGAGAGCTTGGGTTTTCGAGACTGTGGGAAGCACGGACACTGTCTCACTCATGAATCCATTTATTTGCTTCAGGGTAACTACACAGCCCCTTGGGGTGTACCAGGTACCGGGATGGGCATCAGGGTACCCTGATGTGTAGGAAACACATCCTGCTTGAAGAGTTCATCCTCCATAGACAAACCCTTCATCCAGGACAGGGTTTCTCAACAGTAGGACTACAGACATTTGGGGCTGGATCATTTTCTGGGGTGAGGGCTGTCCTGTGCACTGTAGCGTTTTTAGTGGCATCTGTAGGCTGTATCCACGAGATGCCACTAGCATCCTCCCCTCCAGGGCTGACAATCAAAGAATGGCTCCGGATATTTTCAATGTCACCTCATCACCCTTAGTTGAGAACCACCACCGTAGATCTAGATACAATTTGATAGATAGATAGATAGGAAGAAAATAGGTAGATGATATGATAGATAAGACAGATGAATGATAGGTAGATGAGATAGATAAAATAGGTGTGTGGATGGATGGATAGATGATTGATAGCTGTGTACATAAATATAGATGATATGATTGATGGGTAGACAATAGATGATAGATACATGGGATAAGTAGATGACATATATGTGGATGGATGGATGGATAGAGATGACTGATATGTAAATATATAGTAGATAATAATAGCTAGCTAGATGATGAAGATAGATTGTAGACAGATACATGACATACATGATACATAGATGGATGATAGGTGACTGATAGATACATCAGTAGATAGTAGATAGATAATAGCTAGATGATGATGGTGGTGATGACAGATTAGATAGATGATAGATACATAGATAGGGAAGGTAGATGACAAATGGATGAATGGACAGGTGCGTAGAGAGAGACCAACAGATTGAGTCTCTCATGCGAAGGCAGTCTCGTCACTCTTTCTGGGACTGAGTCATCCTCCATGGTGGGGACCGTCCTTCACTGTGGACCGTGAACAGCATCCCGGGCTTCCACCCACTACGTGCCAATATCACATTCCACCCTCCTCTCCCCCAGCTGGACAACCAAAAATGTCTCCAGACGTTGCCAGATGTCCTGAGTTGCAGAATCACTCCTGGTTGGAAACCCCTGTGCTGGAGAAATAAATGCAGCAAGGCATTTTAGGAACAGACTCATTTGGACTGACTGCCTCAGGAAATGAGACCCAGGACGGTACAGAAACCAAGACACAGGCTGCTACATACACGTCACCTAGAAAAACATGGTAAAGCGTCTCACTGTCCCATCATTCTGGGTTCATGTAAGGTTAAGAACTGGTGGTAAACTTCTGTGGGTGAACTCAACATACATTCTTTTTTTTTTTTTTTTTTTTTTTTGGCCACGCTGTGTGGCTGGCGAGATCTTAGTTCCCCAGCCAGGGATGGAACCTGTGCCCCCTGCGGTGGAAGCACGAAGTCCTAACCACTGGACTGCCAGGGATTTCCTTCAACATACATTCTTAAGGACTTGCCTTGTCCTGATGTAGGGGAGGTAGCATGACATGAAGAGGTATATGGTGGTCTACACGCTCCATCTTCTCAAAAGACATAAGACTACAAGTCAGGTTGCTACAAGGCTGAGACACTCAGAAGCATTAATGGTGGTTCTAGGGGGTGTTCCTGTCCCAGGGGACTCAAAGGCCACGTCATATGGAAGTCTAAGGGCTAGTTATTTGTGGAGAAGCCATTTTTACTGGGCTAAGAAAGAGGGCTGTCTGGGCAGGATAACATGCATAGGAGGGAAGCACTGCTCTCCCTGCAGCAAAAACATTTCTAGGAAAGTTCTAGCCTCCAGCAAGGTGACCTCGGGTCAAGCAACAGATAAAAAGTAATAGGTATATTTGGGCTAGAGTTTAAATAAGTGTTTACTTTTTGGTTGAAAATGCTATGATATCATAGTTGGTTGGATAATGTTCTCCAAAAATCCATGTCTACCTGAAATGTCAGAAAGGGACCTTACATGGAAATAGGGTCTCTGCAGATGTGATGAAGTGAAGGATCTGAGCTGAGGTCCTCCTGGATGAGGGTGGCCCTACATCCAGTGACAGGGTCCTTATAAGACACAGAAGAGGAGAGATACACAGAGGAGAAGCCCTGTGAAGACAGAGGCAGAGACGGGAGGGATGAGGCCACAAGCCCAGAGACGCCCGGAGTCCCCAGAAGCTGGAAGAGGCAGGAAGGACCCTCCCCTGGAGCCTCCGGAAGGAACCGACCCTGATGACTCCTTGATCTTAGACTTTTGGTCTCCAGGACTGAGAGAGAATGAATCCCTTTTGTTTTAAGACAACCCGTTTGATATAATTGGTTATAGCATCCTTGGAAAACAAACACAAATCTTAAAAATTTTCTGGTGGATTCAGTCACAATGACAGGTGCTCGAGTACTTTGAGATTTCGTCATCCTGAGTCTTTTAAAATAGTTTGCTCAGAATGGGGGTGTATGTGGTTTGAGATCATTCGTTGCAATCACATACGGTTCTGTTGTGATTTGTAAATAATACACTAACTAAAAGATAGGGGGGTTTTTTTCCTCCCAGATGACCAACGTCTCACATCTGGTATATGTGCTTGTAAATCTGTGTCCACAAGCACACATCCTCGCTTAGCAGTCAACGGTCACTCTTCGACTGCTCCCAGGTCCTCACCGAAAAACAAAACCCAAACCAGGCTTTTAAACCCGCTCTTTAAGATTTGGTGTGTAATTGCAGATGCAGCTCTCATTCTGAAGAATCTGGACAGGACTTTAGTCCTCGTGAGGGGTGATCTGCTACTGAATTCACGCTGCAAGATGCCGAGCCCTGCAGGAGACTTTGCGGCACTTCTGATCGTGTAAGACCAGACCAAGGATGGGCAGCGTGGTGAGTTCCTGGTGCTATTTCCATGATCCTTGCTACTTTTCTCCAGGGTTTAAAATATATAACTATGGTTTCCAGAACACGTTCACACACTGTATTCCACTGCAGCTTCCCCACTGCTCTTGGAAGAGGTGATTTCTGGGGAAGGGCGCATAGAGATGATATGGTTCGATCCTACACCATGCGACATTGGCTGTGACTTGTCCATCCAAAGCCATGTTGCAGAACCAGAATCAGAATCAGAACCAACCTGCGTACTGTGCTGGGCTCCGCTCAACCATGAGGCTGATTAGAAGTTTATGGCAGAACCAACGAAGGCTTGAGTAGCTGAGAAGTGGGCTGGAATTTAGGTTCTGCCCCTTAACAGCCGTGGGAAACTTGGTGTCATCTACATCAACTTCCGTTTCTGTATGTGTCCGATGGCACTGATACCACTCACTTTATAGGATTACTGGGAAAACCACTGAGATAACATATGGATGGTGGAACAAAGGTCAAAAGTCATATTTTTAAAAATCCAACAGTTGTGCCCCCCCCAAGTAGGGTAGCATAAATCATCGGAAAGATATGTTTTTGTTTTAGAAAACTCGCTAGGACACTTTTAGATTATGTAAAAAGTTTCCCATGGCTGAACTGTCAGAAGGAAGTTGAGATAGAGGGCAAAGTAGTGAGGACACAAACGGGAAATCAGAATAGATAGAGATAGATAGACGATAAATAGATAGATGATAGTTACATTGATAGATAGATAATAGACGATAGATACATAGAGATAGTTACACAGATACGTACGTACATACATAGACACAGATAGATACATTGATAGATAGGTGACAGATAGATATAGATAGACAGGTATAGTATATAATATATAAATGTATACAAATTAATATAAAATTGTATATGTGAATATGTATTGGAGTTCAAGGACTCACATGTAAGCATGCTATACAATCAATTTTAAATGACTGGCCGAATTGTTTACTACACAAAATATTTACATAAATCTCACACTCTGCTCACCACTGCCCGCCTGGGCCTGGTCCACACACCATAAAAATATCATACAGGATCCATTTGTCCCAGTTACAGCTTCTCATCTGTTTACAAAAACTCTTCCATCCATAGAAGAGAATGTCACAATCCTTCATGGTATCCAGGTCCTTTCTCACGTCCTAACATCACCTTAAAAGTTATTTCTTATTTTAAATGTCTTTTCTCTTTGTCTTTGGAGTGTCTGTAGTGACACCTGGAGAAGTAAACAGATGGGATTCCAACTGTAGGGTCGGGTAACCCAAAAAGTCACACAGAGGAGGGAACACATAACTTAGGGGACATTTTCAACCCCAAAAAATGAATTTTAAAAATCTTGGTCCAATTTTTTTGGTATGCCGCTCACATTTTAGTGCCCAGAAGACATATTTTTCAGAAGCCATCCTACCACATTGTAGCCTGGATCTAAATCTGGCTCCTAGATATCTCAATTCCTCCACTGCTAAAATGTTAAGAGCAATGCAAGTTCCCTGAGGCAGAGGTGCTTGGTTCCCCGTCCCCCAAGCCTCAAGCACCAGCTGCCGGATGGCAGAATGTTGGTGGGAGTACAGCATCCCAGGCAGAGTCTATATTTCCCAGGATCCCTTGCTTGGAGGTGGGGTCACATGACTAATTCTCACCAATGACG